TATACTTATAAAATACGCATATCCGGCTAATATCCGCTTCTTTTTTTTATCCGTATTTTTTAACCAGATATTCGACTATTCGATATCCGAAATTCAATAAACTCACTTAACCGAATATCCAAAAAATCCACATTATCTAGACATTCAGAAAACCCGCTTATCCGAATATTTAAAAAATCCAGATTATCCGTTGCTTTGGCGAAGACTTAGTCATGACTGCTAACGATTGCCCTCCGCTGCATAACTTTTCTACAGTTCCAAACCAGTCCTAAATTCGATTCGGTGAGATCTAGTTCGTTTTTCCTCCCTTCTTCGATAGTTCCGAACTACTCCAAAATTCGTCACCTTAGAAACAGGTTTCTAATGAAATTTTCTTGTTTTGTTATTACTTTCAGACAGGCTCGGTTTTGGCTATAAAGTTGTAGCAGTGAACTAGAAATTTGGTTCACTATTTCGGGGTGTCTCTGCAGGGTTACAACTGCACATTTGTACATACATACATGCATATGTACATATATATGTGTGTATACGCAATTATAAGTATCATATAAAAACCGACAAACTTACATACATATATCCATATAAATATAACGTATGTATGTAGAATTTAATTTCAGGCCTTGTTTACTCGGAATATAATAATATTTGCTTAGTTTATATGCTTTACAATATGTATAAATCAAACTAAAATTCCTTAACATTTATACAGTCTGCCTGCCTATGCCGCAATTACCTTTTTGTATATATAATGCTAGACATTTATACATCCATAAATATCTACATTTGTAAATGTATTATATTTCAAGTTTGCATTTACTTGTGCCGCAAATATTTACTTAACTGTCAACGTTATCAGCAAAGCACTCGATATCCAACACACTTCAACTGTGACAATTCAACTGCCAAGCAAATAGTATATATCGCACACCGTCTTCAAAAGAGTCACAACTCAATATTTTGCATTTTTGAAATTATGTACTAAAAAGCTGGAGCAAATTTTTGTTATAATTTGTTAAAAAGGCCAAGGTAAAGTCGCCTTTGCCCACATGATTATCGTGTGCTAGGAAATAGTTTTTCGCATTTTCTGACAAACCTATTATTTTGAGTTATGACTCGTTTGAAGACGGTGTGCGATATGTAGTAGATATGCATATAAATATACAACCATTGTGGATAGCATTTCGTCTGTATTGCCGACAGAATGGCACAAGTCTACCGACATCAAGTGCAGTGTACATACACATATCCATATATGTATATAGTATGTATAGATAGTACCACTAACTATGTAGTATGAATACTATGAAGAAGCAACAACAAGTATGACACCTTATTCGCACCACTTTACGATGAGTTGTCACGCTGCCACGACACTTTTAACGCTTGTCAATTTCAGTACCCATCAATTGAATTCTATATACATATTTACATATTCTGCATCCTACTTTGAAATGTCGTAAGCCAAAGCCAATTCAGTAGTTGTGCTGAGAACTTCTTTCTGTGTTGACTAGTGATGTGCTGAGTCGATACTTTTAAGTATTGGTAGATGCTCTGTACCGATTTAAAAAGTATTCAATACTTTCGATACTCGGTACCGGAATGTGTAGGAACGGAATGTATAAGAACGTATATTGGCCTAGCCTATCAAAAACCGACTATAGGGGCTATGGGATGTTAACGCTGATTCAAATGAAAATTATACATACATTTTCCGTCGCCAAAATGCAAATAAACTCTTCCTTATTTGTATTTTGAGAAATAATCGTCTAATTTTGACAGATATTTTGTTGAAAATTATGTAAAATTACTGCAATTAACTTTAGTATCGACTTTATTTTGACTTTGAATACGCCACATTTTTTTTTAAGGCGATATCACATAAAGTAGCTAAACTGTTTTTTATCTTAACTTGAAATGTATATTATGGCGAAGGTTTAATTATGTAGAGATTGGGAATGGGTACCGAAAAGAAAGTATTGGGTACCGAAATGTTTCTGAAGTATTGGGTACCGAGTATTGGGTACCGGCAATTCAACACATCACTAATATTGACAATGTCTAAAGCTGCGAAATCGGCTGTGACAAGTAAGCGTAAATGCATAAAAGCATAAACAGATGACAGCGTTGATCCGGATCAACTCGGGAATTAACTGCAGTTGATCCGGATTAAGTCGGAGCTAGTCCGGATCAACGCTGCCGCCTGTTTAATCTTTAACACGTTATAAATGAGAACTTGGCTTAAAAATCGCAGGGTATATAAATATAGGCAAGGGTATTATTGAACGTAAGGTCGCCTTAGCTTAGATATTCTTCCCTAATACCTTCTACGTGGGCGTGAAACAATATGGGGGTTCACGAGTTGTAAGTGGTGGTCCATGAAAATCAGTTTCGATAGTAAAGAAACAAATTTTGGCTTGGGTTTAGGTATCATCTATCTGCCTACATAATACTCAAAAAATTAAAATATTGAGACTTTAAAAACGCATTTTGAAGCTTTAACGTTCTGATTTTCAGTTTTCTTGGCTAAAAGTTTTTAGGGGCTACGGTTCTCATGCAATTCTGACAGATAGCGTGAAAAAAAAAATAATTTTTACAATTGTTTGCTTATTTTTGGTGCAAGGGCTTGAAATTCTTTTTTTCTGTTAGACCGGCATATAGATCAGTTAACGTATTTATTTAGTGATGTATTATGGAACGAATTTCCGTCATCCCTTGTCAAATTTGGTTTGGAGAATGACACTGAAGATGGCACAACGCCGAAACCGGTTTGTCTCCAAACCAAATTTGACAAGGGATGACGGAAATTCGTTCCATAATACATCATACACCCACCCTGTCGGAAACAACAACAACCAAAAAGGAAGTATTTATTTAGCTTTAAAATCCTTTTTTTTTTAATTTCCCTTAATTTTTTTATTTTTTGAGTTCGCAAAAAGTCCGCATTGAGGAATAAAACTTCCATCTTCCTTCATTACAACTCAATTAAGGAGCAATCAATTTTGAATTTCTCTTTTGTGGGTTAAAAAAAGGAGGCTGTTGTACTAAATTTATCTATAATATAAATCAGTTTTTTTCGCTTCAATATTTGGATCACGCTCCCATGTCACTCAAAATATTACGCCTCATCTTGTTTATGTAGCTTTCATAACTTAGTACTTAGTTTTAATATGTAGTTGAAAAACTCGTTGAGCAATTATTTTATTTATGCTCTAAATTTAATACGTGCTTTACGAACTCTGTTTTAATAAGGTCAGCGACTATTACTTGAAAAAACTTGCATCCTCCATCGCTTCTTCAATTTTTTGGCGAGTTTTGTGGATATGGTAGACATGTAGCAGCAGGCAGTGCACCGAAACCAGTAATTTTTCGAAAGTGGTGGTCTTCCGAAAAAAATTAATGCTGGGAACTTCTTCTCTAGCCACTACCTCTAGTAGTACTTTTCGTAGTGAACATCGATTTTGAGACTATTTGGTATTTAGAAAAATATTTCACGCCTCTAGTCTCAACAAAAGGCACTATTTGTGGCTGAGTTGTTTAAGGGGTGCGTACTACCACTGCATAGTATCCTAGATTTGATCCCTAGTACGGGTAATATCTGTATTAGAAAAAGCTTTTTCCAACAGCGGTCTCCCCTCGGCAGGCAATGGCAAACCTTCGAGTGTATATCTGCCATAAAAAGGCTTCTCATAAAATTCATTATACTTCCGGAGGCGGCGTAAAACTGTCCCTACATTCAACCCGATTTTCTAAAGTCTCCAAACATGCACCCCACATCGCCTCAAAAACAAATATTAAGCCTAAATTTCTCAACTTATAGAAACACTAAGAACTAGTTTAAAGTGTTGGTGAGATCCTCCTGTCTTCATAGATTTTAATTTTTCTCAGCTACTTTTCATACTTATTTTCAGCGCATGCTTCCTCTGCTTACACTTCAAGCGTGTTGTTGACACCTTAGTTACAAAAAAAAAAATGCGTTGACTGTCACTACCATTTTATACTGTTAACTATTTAGCTGGGTAGTGAGAAAATCTAAATGACAAGTTAAACTATTGTATTTATTATATCTATTAGTGTCTGTACAGCAATGCAGGTACATAACTCAACCAGTCATTCAAGCTCGCAATCAGCTAGAGTCATCAAAGCTAAAAACGTTTAAGCTGCTAGTTGTGCTACTAAGCCACTGAGATTGTTGACCAATTCGACGGTTAATTACAAAGTTAATTGTCTGAAAAAAAAAAATAATCGCTCTCCAGTTAGCTAAATGCGTATGTATTTGGCTCATCGCTGATTAAACCATTTCCGCTCTTTGTACTGTGCCACTTTAATAAGTTTTCGGGGCGACGCACAAATGAAGCAGTTTTTTTTCTTTTTTTTTTTATCAGTATACTTGGAGTAGTTCTTTCACTTTATTCTAGGGCAATACTAAGTGGTGCTTATTCGATAACATCTTTCTGTAAACGCCTTTTAGTTTGCTAATTCAAGTACGACTGTATCGGAACCTACGACTGATCTGACGGCATTCCTGTCGCAGAATCGGTTAATAATGTTCAAGTAACTGCTGCTCAGGGCACTCTGTCATGTGAAAGACTGGTCTAGGGAAAATGAAATTAATGTTAGTAGAGTTATCCCAATTTAGGTTTATCCCAACCTAAATTTTGTATCTTGGGATCTTGTATTTCCTAGTGAATAATACTAGGTAAGTCTTCTCATCGATAACGCTCAGTCCCACTTCTGTGGCTCAATCACTAATGGCTTTCAGCGTCTGGGTTGCCAGTGAGCTCAGTCACTGTCAGTAATTTATTTATCACAAACGTCAATAAAAGCGGAGATTGCAGCCCTCCTTGCGGTGTGCTTCTATGCGCGTCTAGCGTCACCTCAGTTGAGCCACATTGCGCCGAGTTCTTTCTACAGTCTAACATACTTAAAATGTACTTATTAACACTTAAAAATTGAATTTGTACTCAAATTAACCTAATTCATTATAATTTCTTTCGTTCCAGGCGACATCCTCTCCGGCGTCTGCTTCGTTGGCCAACTGGACACACACTCTCTGGGCGTCTTCCTCATACTGCCACTCTGCATTTATCTTTCCATCGGCGCGCTCTTTCTACTCGCCGGCTTTATATCACTATTTCGCATACGCACTGTAATGAAAACAGATGGCAAGCGTACAGACAAACTGGAACGACTCATGATGCGCATCGGCTTCTTTTCTGGCCTCTTTATATTGCCAGCGCTCGGCTTTCTTGGCTGTCTCTTCTATGAATATTACTATTTTGACGAGTGGATGATTCAATGGCATCGCGATATATGTAAACCCTTCTCCATACCATGTCCGCAAATGCGTCCAGATGGTCTGGAGTCACGTCCCATTTTTCAGATTTATATGGTGAAGTATTTGTGTTCAATGCTGGTAGGCGTAACGTCGAGTGTCTGGTTGTATTCGGGCAAAACGATGGTGAGTTGGCGTAATTTTGTGGAGCGCCTGCAGGGGAAGGATCCAAGAACGCGTGCTCAGGCCTATGTTTAGTTAAGTTAAGTTGAGATTTGGAGATGCATAGTTGTTTAAGGATATGTGTAGTTATAAGTGTGATTGCAAGTGTATTTGTTTATAAGTGTAAGCTCGTGTGTAAAATATGTATGCGAATGAAAAATGCGCTACGTGAGGTTTTTTTTTTTTTTTGTTTGAGACGCGTGCGCTGCTTAAGCTTGACTCAAGCTACAAATGTTGTTGTATAAAAGCTAAGAGATACTGGTACAAGTTTGTAGACAAATTTTGAGGTTATCATTTTCGTTAAAAGCTCAAAGACTTATTAAGCTTAATAGTTTTGAGTGGAAACTAAATTTTGAGTTGAATTGCTTAGGCGTACTAATTCAATTGATTTTTTTTCTAATGAGATTATTTTGTTTAAACAGCAAGAGCGGAAAGTCAGCATGTAATATTTGTGTATGAGTGTGTATATTTGTGTATTTTATTTGAGTAAAATTTTGAGTGTTTTATTAGCTCAACTCCGCGTTTAAGTGATCTTTGTAAAAGTTTTGCGTGCAAATATTAAACAGTGTGTTAAAAAGCTCAGCGATTTCCAAATTTTATAAAACAAATTAATCAAAATAAACTTTTAAGTACATTATTTATGTATGAGTAAATGTAAAGCTTATTAAGCTTAAGTTGTATGTATTAGTTTATATGTAAACAGGCATACGTGTAAGTTGAAACGCGTAACAGAATAAGAACACACGCAAAAAATAGTTTGTAGTTGTTAAAGCTTTACATGTGCCCTAAAATGTAGTTTTAAAAATGTAAGCAAAACATTATTAGATGAAGGGAAGTCAGTTAAATGGGCAGGTATGCAGATTAAGTGAAATTTCAAAAAAATTATTTTAAAAATTCAGTGCAATTTCGAAAAAAATATGGTGATCAAATGAAAGAAAAAATTATTTAGAATTAAAAAGTAAAGTTTTTCTCTATACTAAAACTATCTTTTTCTATAGATAAAATCAGTCAAATTCTTCAATTTTCAGCGAAATTTTCAAGTTTTACAACCCTCTAATTTCCCACGACATCCAAATCCAAAGGAATTTCTATTTATGTAACTAGAAGGTAATGTACTATCTACTAAGCTAGGAGCGTACGTGCACTGATAGAAATATATGCGAGCTTAGTTACTCACACGATTACTTAAATTTTTTTACAACTCACAATTTTTTTAGGTTACATTTTTTTAATTGATTTGAAAAAAAATGGTAAAAACAATATTAAAAATCATTACTGAAACCTCAAGGACTATAAAAATACCTACGCTTTGCTCGATTGTGTGAGAAACTGTATATTCAGACAAAATTTTAGATATAATGAAAAGATGTTATCGGCAAGAGTGGTTCTATTAAAATCAAACCCAATCACAGAGTATTCGATGGCCCATTTAACGCCATCAACTGTCTTCCCTTTATTCGTTTAAAAAAATTAAATAATATTTCAAAAAATATTAAGTATAAAAACTATCTTCTACTACAACAAGCAACCATAAGAAAACGCCCTCCATGTGCTAAATACTTAGAAAATTAACGTAAGTGTAAACGATTTGTTGAAGATTAAGAAAAAATAAAACCAAAATAATTTTAAACACAAATTGTATTTGTAAGCCCTTTCTAGCCAGTAAGCTTGCATGTTATAGTTTAAGCGCTAAAACAAAAATTATTAAAAACAGTGGAAAAAAGATAATTAAAAAAAAAAAACAACAAAGTTGTATTAAAATTCCTCTTAATTTGTGCAACAATGACGTTATAGTCATAATATTAAGTTTTCCTCGCTCAAAATATACGAAATTGTAAGTAATTAGCTATGTATGTACAATAACACTTTTTTGAACAGAAGGCACAATTTTTACACAGTTTATTTTGTAAACCAATGCTGCCATAAAATTACATGCATATGTACGAACAAATTTACAACCACTTTGCTACTGTTCTTAAGGTTTTCAGTACATTTTCAAATTCGATTACAGAAAAAATAATAAATTTTGTATCTCAAAAAATAAATACATATGAAAGTAATACTTATAAAAAAATTCTTTGATTTTTTTTTTAACTTGTAAAGAGAAAAAATTTCAATTAACTTTCCCAATCGTTTAACCAAGTTCCGCCTCTTTATTCAAAAGTAATTTCCACAAATCTTTAAACGTAGGAGTTTTTATCCACTTTTCTTTAATACTAATTTTCTAATGTATTATATTTTCTTCTTATTAATGTAAATTATGCGTTTTTCAAAACGTTGTCTTGTATTGACTAGTATGAATGCGTTTGAAGTTTAAAGCAATTTTTTATCATAGTAAGCAAATAAAAATGATTGAATAAAAAAATAATATTGTATTGTTAAAGACTGAAAAAAAATGCTGCTTTGTGTTTGGAGATCAACGCGGAGATGGTTTGTATATACTTTTCGTTAGTTTAGAGTAAAAAGTCCTTTTTTTAATTTTATAGGAGAAAACAAAAACCTTTTAAACTCATTTATTGTTCCATCTTTCATTTATTTTTAATTGTGATTGCTTTTCTTTTGGAGCGAAAAAGTGATCTTAGCAATTTTCGCTCTAAGCTAGCGTTATGGATCTACTGTTATACGCTGTTTTCGAATGGTAAATAGGTTTTTATGAGAAGCCTTTTCATCGCAGAAGTAAACACGGCACTAAGCTGCTGCTAAGGAAGATCCACTTTGTTTTTGATTCTGCTCGGACCAGGAACCTTTGCCCTACTGCGTACGCACCTCACACTATTTGGTTGCAGCGGCCGATGGATGTTATCCCATAATCACTTCTACCAGTCCTTCGTCTTATCCCTGCAAACCAAAGTTCTCGAAATCTTAAGGAAATCGTTAGGAGTATCTCATTTCGACTTTTCTACGAATTTTCAATGAAAATTATATGAAGTGGTTGAAACGAACTCGTAAAGAAATTTCTGTACGAAAAATAAAGAAAATTCTGGAAAAATTCTGAAAGATATTCTTCACATAGCAGCATTATTTTCATTGCTTCACAGATTTTCTTCCGAAATTTCATAAAAGAATGGAAGTGTGCGTAATTTATTTCATTTTAGAAAATTCGGCAAAAAATCGAACTAAATCTTAACGAATTCTTTAAAATTTATTTACAATGCAGAATACTCTGAAAAAATGGTTTGCAGGGATAGCACAATTCGCTGCCTGTGTGCCGGTTGGCGTAATTTCGAGGAATAAAAGCCGCATACGTTTCCCTGGCGGTCCTTTGAATTATACGGTTATTCCAAATTAAACATAACCAGATACTGCGAGACGACCTTCGAGTTCGTTCAAATTTTGCACACAGCCTAATTCCATACTAACTAACTGACAGAACAAAGCTTTAACATCTTTTCCTAAAAATGAGGGCGTCACAAATATATAGACAAAACAGTCAAGTGGGGTTAACAAAATGCTTCACAAGTTCACTATTTCTTGCTCTAAGTAAATGAGCTCTAAAAAAATTTTTATATTATGTATCATTAGAAAGGTAAATAGTCAGCTATCCATCTGCTCTACTACCTAAATAACTTTTTATACAAAATATCTTTTGTAATAACGGTGATTTTTAATTGATACTCCCAAATTTATTTAAACCCAACCATATTCAGTAAAAAGATTAAAAAATTTCCTTTCCAACATAAATCGCCAAGCCGTTCTTATCTATATTCTACATTAAACTATTGAAAACATTTGGCACATTTTGTTGGCAGCATTATTTAACTTTTCACCTACAAAGCCACCTACGACATCTAAGCTCATAATAAGTCAAAAAAGGATCAGTTAACTAATTGAAATCTCCTACTGCAAACTTGTATTAAACTACAAATTGGAGTTAAATAGCATTAAGCCGCTTTAGTGTATGTATGCCCTTCATCGTAGAGAATAAGACCACCGCAGAATTAACTGCAAAGCGCCTTGGCAGCTCAGAACCGAAATATTTGTAATAAAAATCTCCCGCAAATCGCAAAATAGCCGTCTACTTTATGGCTACAATAATGGCTGAAAATTACAAGAATATCCAGGATAACAGTAGCTAAGGGTACGGTGACCATATTAACCAACGTAAAATAAAGGACATTTTTTTCAAAATGATTTGGGAATACGTACATATAACTTGTATGATGAAAGTACCTTATCCATATAGTAATTTAAATCAAATATTTACCAAATAATCATATTATTTAATTGTACAAGTTCCCCTGCTGTAGCGAAAGTGAAGCCAAATCCTTTTCAAGGACTTCGCCATCCTGTGCTACCAAAATGCGTTTACCATAATTCATACTGTACGACGAAGCCAGCACACAGTGGTTCAAAATTGGAATTTAATGTTGATAATCAACATAAACCTTCATTTTTCAACCAATTTTTACTAAAAACCCAAAAAAAACATTTTTTGGTGAACATTTTTTTATAACATTTCATTTTTTTGTGTATTTTTTTGTTTTGGGAGGCCCATACAATTGTTTTCAAATAGTGTTTGGTATGTAACATTTATTAACTGGAACAGGAGAATACATTTCCTTCAAAATTGCTACTTTTTTGCATTTGGCACTAAAATATTTAATATAATAAAATAAAAATTCATAAATCACGCTCAAATGCAAATATTTTAAAATAAAAACAAGTAAGAGGAGCGCTGTCTTCGGCTATGCCGAAGGCTTCATACCTTTCATGAACATCTACAAATTTTACTTTGACAGATTACTGCTTTTGAATACATCTGCATACATCGATAGAGGAGTTCCATACCTATATAAAAAATCGCATCTGAACAATCAGAGGTATTGAAGATATACCTTATATTAGCACCAATCTAAGTGATTTTCACTGCTATGTGATCGGTATGTAAACCGGTAACACAATTTATTGGGTTTAGTTTCCTACATAAAGAAGATATATCGCAAAAACTGGTATCTGAACAATCAGTGCTATAGGAGATAAAGCTTATACAGCATAGATTTTGACGATTTTCCCAGTAGACTTTGTATTATTATTTATAAAATATCTTACGAAATTTATCGCTTTTAGCTATTCAAATAAAGAAGTTTTACAGTAAAATCCCATATCTGAACAATCAGATGTATGGAAGATATATATTGTAGTCATCCGATCCTTGTTATTTTCACTGTAAGTATTCTGTTAATAATGAGTGAAAATGGTGCGAAATTTCATGTTCGTAGTTGCATAAATGGAGGAGTTATGATAAAAGACCTCATATCTGAACAATCAGTTGTATGGGGGCTGCAGGTTATAGTGACCCGATCTTTATTATTTTCGAGGTAAGTCTTCTGTTGATAATGAGTGAAAACAGCGCGAAATTTCATGGTCCTAGCTACATAAATGGATGAATTATAACGAAAAATCTCATATCTGAACAATCAGTTGTATGGGAGCTATAGGTTATAGTTACCCGATCTTTTTAATTTTCGCGGTAAGTTTTCTGTAGATAATTATTGAAAACAGTGCGGAATTTCATGTTCCTAGCTATATAAATGGAGGAGTTATAACGCAAAATTTTATATCTGAACAATCCGTTGTATGGGAGCTATAGGTTATAGTGACCCGATCTTTGTAATTTTCACTATAAGTATTCTGTTGATAATGGGTGCAAGTATTGCAAAATGTTCGTAGCTGCATAAATGGCGAAGTTATAATGAAAAATCTTATATCTGAACAATCAGTTGTATGGGAGCTATATGTTATAGTGGTCCGATTCTTCCGGTTCCGACAAATGATTAATACATTATAAAAATACACCCACCTACCAAATTTCATCCGGATACCTCGAAAACTGAGAGACTAGATTGCATACAAACAGACAGACAGACGGACAGACGGACAGACGGACAGACGGACAGACGGACATGGCTAAATCAACTCAGCTCGACGTTCTGATCATATAAGTATACATTTTCATGGGTCTATCTCTTTTTGTTCTGGTACTTACAAACATCGGACCAAAGTTATAATACCATTTCATGCTCATGAAAGGTATAATTAATGAAATTAAGTGAAAAATGAAGGCTCCTGTGAATTACGAACACTAAATTCCAGATTCGAACCACTGTGCAGCAGGGGGTTTACTGTTCTCTTTCAGTGGAACTGGAAACTCAGCTTGCAACACGATCCTGTGCACAACTTTCCCTGTGCCTTATAGATTGTACAAAGATTGCCGATTAAATAGAAACCCTAAAGTGGGGTGCGAAACAAACTCGCGAATGTTTTCATTATATTTTATAAGGGACATTTTTATTTTTCATATTCTGCGTTAAAAAATTCACCTCTGAAAAATGCAGAGCCGATTTAAAGGACAGTTTCAGATATAAAGGACAAAAGCCGTCCTTTATTTTTAAAAAAATTATAAAGGACAAGGGGTTAAAATAAAGCACAGTCCTTTAAAATAAAGGACGGATGGTCACCGTAGCTAAAGGGGACCGCACACAACTACGTACATACGTACATACATAAGTATACTTTTACGTACATGTATAGGAGAAACAAAAGGTAGAGTACGTAGTTATACTAGCGTTTTGAAAGCGAAACAAAGTATGTATATGAGTTCGCCTTCACAAAAAGCGAGTGAGACCAATTTAAATGGTGGAATTCACTTATACAGCAACAAAAGCCACGCAGTCGACACTGCGTTGCGTTAGACCACCAGTCATGCCCAAGGCTGGCAGAACTCCATAAGCAAGTGCGCTGC